TTGTGGCAAAAAAAAAAAAAAAAAAAAAAAAAAATTGAAATTGAAATTGAAAAAAAAGAAGATACTGTAAGTACTGTACTGTGCGCACGTAGGTAGGTACATGCACACGTAAATAAGAATGCGCGAAATACACTCTCACTTGTAGTGCACGTATATATACATCATCTCGCTTTAACCGAAGTAGTTCTTTCTATTGCTCCAACCGGATGAGTGGGTGTAACTTGATATGGAGACTTTGTATGTTAGAATGAATTGCTTTAAAAAACCTTCTTTCATCCATCACAATTTCTGTGAGTGTGGTAAGGAAATTGAAACTAAAATTTGGCCTAGCATGTAAGCGACATCAGTTGTATACCCACATATTTATACATGCTCACCTATACACAGTATATACAGTAATATACGCACCTACAGTATACCATATTTTATATGGTTTATTGTATATAGCACATATTTATAGGGAAATTTCTTTTATGGAATAATAATAGCATTGTCACCATCCATATTTGTAAACTTGACTGTTTGAAAGTTAGTGTGAAAAATTGGTGTATATATCGTCTTCGACTTGTTGTGTATGGTGCGCGGCATGCACCTTCCTACAAAACACAACAGGGAAAAAAAAAAAAAAGGTCACAATTCTAATAGGTTTAGCCAAACTCAAAAAAAAAAGAAAGAAAAAAAAAAAAAAGAAAGAAAGAAAGAAGAAAGAAAAAGAAAAACATTTTTCCTATTGTTGCTGCTATTTTTCATAGCATCATCGTTATCATCATGAGTGATAATGTGACGACTTGTTGCTTTTTACGAGGATTCTCCCATCCGCCTATCATTGGGGTAAGAAGTGTAACCATCTCTAGGCGCTAAATTAAAATTCCAAGGAAGAGAGGCCTTCCCGTGATAATTCCCACTCAGCAATCCCACGAGAAAGAGAAAATTTCCGCCCGGCTTTATCAAGGTTCGAGTCAGGTTTGAAAGAAACCAATTACAGGTGGTTGACCTGCACAAGAATTATATCGTGTGTGTGTGCGCGCGCGCAGCAAGAAGTCCCTTCAATGATAACCAACGTTAATATTACACTTGAAATATTAATGGATCGAAAAAAGGTTAGTCAATTTATTTGCAACTCCTTTTTTGATTCCTTGTTGATCCTTTATTTTGGATCCCTTTTTTTATTATCAAATTCCCCACTCTCTGACCTCGAATCATTTTTCCGAGAGCCCTCTTTATCATCACAAGGCACAACCGTTTAAAAAAAAAAAATAGGCTTGTGTATGCACGTATTCACAATTAATTGAGAACACCCGACGCCAATCGTAGGTGTTCGTCATCTCGAGAACGGATGTTCTCCTTATAATCACGAACGAAATAATTGTCGCTGGAAAGGGGGGGGGGGGGACATCAGATACATACATGTCTTCAGATTATCTTGGCCATCATGGTTGGGACAGGTCGGAGAGATGTATCAGATTAATATCATATTCTCTGATACATAATTGGACGTTGGTTACTATCTGTAGTCTGTGCGCAATTGTGCTGTATATAAAAGACGTTACATAAATAAAAATTCATTCACCGAAATATTCGGTTTACTATAAAAGTACGGTTGAGGCTTATCAAACTTTATTGCGGCTGAATCTTAAAGATAGTAAATAACATAGCACATGTATGTACAATACGTACTGAACATACAACACCGCACCGCCTTCAAATTAGTGCTGCGCCAATTAATTAATTTTCCGATAATAAAAAAAAAATTATTCCGTGTAGCGTAACGTGTATAGTGCAAAACGGATTTAATGGCAACCAATGGGATTGTCAAGAGGCATATTATTGGTAAATAATGAAATCCTTTTCTTCTAAATTTATCGCTTATGTAAATATCGTACGCAGATTCCATGATTCCAAGCTTCCTTTTGATCGCCCGGATGATAATTGCTGAACAAAATTCCTTCTTAATGCCACTTCTTTTAGATTCCCTTTTTCGTAAACTGCTGTGACGCAAACGTCGTGTATACCGAATGATTGGCCAATCAAAAATTCCTTCTCCCAGAAGAAGCGCCCATAATTATTGATCATGAGAAAATGTGCCCGGACACAAGAAAAATTAGTTTGGGGGGATTACATTGATCCGAGACGACGCCGCCCTCACTTAAACACCGGACCCTCCCCCTTTATACTTCTCTTACATTTTATTTATCTGACACAAGATCCAAAGTGCTTCATGGCGAGCGGATGTATGACCGACAGGAATCTAGTCATTGGTAGACTCGGTCATTAGAATCGGTGGCCTCTTATTGACAAACCCTTCAAACCAGAAAATGACGACACGAAGATCTGATTTACAAAATAAGTAAGTCCTGGTTGAATGAAATGAATTAAAGACGATCAGGCTTGGTTTCCGAACATCCATTCGTTCGGAAAAAATCAGGCGTACAGTAGATGTTTGGAAGAATGGGCGGGGGTTGTTGAGAGCCGCCGACTGGGAAAGAAGATGGTGAATAAGATGATGAGGAATTTCGTTGTTCCGGTAGGTGAATGAACGATCATTGAGTGCGCGGCATGTTCCCACCTTCCCTTAAATGTAATGTCTCTTTGTGACCACCACTTCTGAACACCATCCCGATGCAATATTGACTCTTCCTGTGATCGTCTTCCGCCTTGCGTCACGTTTTCGGTAACATGATGAGCAAATCACCGTGATTAGCCCCGGACGTGCGTATCGTGCATTGGATGAAGTGGTGATATGAATGATTTAATATATTGTCCGGCATGTGATTAGGCCCCAAGGATAGAATGAATGATCGATGTTCTTGAAAACTTGATAAATGTGATTGTCGCAAAATAAGGTTTTCTTCTTTTCCCTAAATAACGCCGGAGATAGGCAAAGTGACCGGCGAACAGACAGCGACGGACAGACGGATGAGCGAACGAAATTGAGGGAATGCAACGTAAGAATCAGATTCACGAGAACCTTATCATATACGGGCGAGTGTATATAACATATATAACATATATATCTATATCTATATATATGGGGACACGTACTCAACGAACAAGAATAAACCTCTTCCTCATTTTCACATCACCTGGGTGCCCCCCCTCCCCTGTACTCATGCTAAAATCCTTTATCCGAATAATTTGTATATTTTTGTAATAAAGAAACATTTTTTTTTTTCTGATCACTATCATACTTTGTGTGACCGTCTTACCATTTAAAAAAAAAATTTTTTTTTTTTTTCTTGATGACAAAGAATATGGAAATGCTATTTTTCTGTTTACCTGTATTTTTTTTGACTCCTCTTGATCACAGGGCACAATAGAATATGTGAGATGTGCTAAACCTAACTGGTTGCTCCCAAACAACTGCATTAGATAAAAGGGAAGCCGTCATACCTATCGTATGGTAAATAATCCCACGTTAATATTATAAATAAGCACGAAGAGAGAAAAATAAAAAAGCATATATCGTGAGAAGAGCCGCACAAAAACGAAAATCCTTTTTTCCTCTAACCAACGATTCCGCCCAAGTTTCACTCAACCGCCGTCATTCGGCAATGAGTGAGGATAAATTGTGTGGTGTTTTTTTTTTTTTTTTTTTTTTTTTTTTTTTTAAAAAAAAAAACCTGTGATGGACAATGTACGGCGGTAATTTGGTACGTACGCACGTATATGAGAAGTTTCAAGGATTGTGCAACCCGTGAATTCTCATTATACTCTATTCCACGCACACGTATTATTCTTAAAGATTTGCGGCGATGCTTAGGCTACACACGTACGTTCGTACACTTCTCGTTCGCCTTTTCCTCTTTTCTTTTATCTTTATTTATTTTTTTTTTAGAATTATTTGGCGTCGATTCCTCTCTTCCTGCTAACACTTAAAAGGTGAATCAAAGGGCGGTTCGCGGATTTCCGGGGATTCTCTTTGAACACCTGTCCACATGACACCCGTGATACGTTTAGAATGTGATGATTCTTTTCATGATGGTTGGAGGATGGGTAATACGTACGTACGTACGTACATTGTGGGTCGGAAGGAAAAATTCAAATGTGAGTACGAAAAAAAAAAGCCCAAGCAGGAGATTTATGGGTTGCACACTGCATAAAGCATAATTAATAAAATAAGATTATTAGACTCAAATTAGAAGGGTGAGGTGGAGGTTCCAAGTTGAAATGTGATGTTCATCTTTATATATTATCGCAAAAAAAAAAAAAGAAAAAAATTTTTTTTCCTGGTCATGCCTCTAATACGTACATACTATCACCACCACCAATATTAATACTATTATTATTATTATTAAATACAAACAACAACACAACAGAAATCATTTTTTTTTTTTTATAGCCGACTATCACTATCTTACAAAAAAAAAAACTTTCCTTCGGCTTAAACCCTCCCTTTTTTTTTTTTTTTTTTTTTTTTTTTAATACCCTTTCTTTCTCCCTCACTTCTCTTTTTTTTTTTTTCCTTCCTGGTCTCGCCCTCGCCATTTTTTTATTAATTTTTTTTTTTTTCACTACCGTTCGTTGGTGCGTGATATATATCTGTTATCAGGTTCTCTTATTAATAACATGAAGTCTTCATAGAAAACAAAAAAGAAAACATCTTCAATCCTAGATACTTATTGATACTCTCCGTGATATATATATACTGTATATATATATATCCATATAAAAGCAGTGCTCATTGAGGCACTACATAAAAAGCCTCTTACTTTTCTCCACCTCTTGTCTGCTTCTTCAGCCTAGTCGATATTTTTTTTTTAAAAAAAAAAAAAAAAGAGAGAGAGAGAGAGAGAGAGAGAGAAAACAAAAAGAAAGAATCACCATAGACTACATACATATACACATACATATATTTAATAGAAAGGAAAAAACTCGTGTTCACTCACACGTAAATACGAACGCCAAATTGACAATCGGCTAAGCAGGCGTCTCAAGTTCCATTTAGTAAACATACAGCGCAGAAACGTGTTTCCGACCACGCCTGTATCATTCTCCAAGGAATGGAAATAGAAATCAATCAGGATCTCAAAGATCGTTTAAGGCGTTCCCAGAGGATACGCACTAGGGATGAGAGGAGAAAACGTGAAGAAATGGAACGTAAAGAAATTGAGGAACAAAAAACACTGATGCGTGCGCCAAGGCGTCTCACCAAACAGTCCGTTCGCAAAACACCCGTTACCACCACCACCATGCTGCCCAAGAAGAAAAAGCTTTCAAACTGTAACTTATCACAACTAAATACTTCAACCGCTCACCTCTCCAATCTCCCCCTGGATATGCTGCTATACATGTTGGAGTTTCTTGGTGGGTTATTCTCATTTGAAGCCTAACCTTCGTAAGGCGTTTTCTCTCTGCCTAACGTTTGAACGTTTTATTCACTTATTTATTACACTATCATCATTATAATATTACGAATATCATCACGACTTGGATGTCGAATCTTTGTCGGATATTTAGATGGTAAGGTCTCATTTAATAATACCTGACGTTTCCTTTGACAACGTATATTGTCAATTGACCTTGAAGATCATCGGGTATAAGAATGTCCGTTAAAAGGACGCGTTCTCAGCATCCAGATCTTCTTTGACGAAAAAGAAATAAAAATTTTTTTCTCGATAATGACCTCTTGAACTTTCTCCTTTATCTTAAAAATCCAGGTCCTTCCCTGGCTACCATGGAGCAAGTGTCGAAATCATTTTATCGTATCATTCGCGGTCATCACAGTCCATATAGATTCCTGTATTATAAACTGTTGGCAGCGTACTGTCCGCACGATGAAGTTTCGATCTTTGAGAATGGCAAACAAGAACACGCGATCCACGCGACAATTTTACCAAAGATATACAAGACTCTTGCTAAGAAGGAATCAAAGGAGTACAAAGTGTCCGATTGGAAAGTAGGTTTAATTAATCACTTTCACCATCATCATCATCGTTATTCATTCGTGCATTATTATACTCACCGATGCATTCAACAATAATGTTCAACCTCTTTTCATTAGATTCAGGTAAAAAAAAAAAAAAAAAAAAGGAATTTGATTTTACACGCGTGATCCTTCCCTCGACATTCTAGGATGGCACTTTCTCAACGCCTCTTATGTTCTCCAGTTTGTAGAATCATACAAGTACTACGTGACCCAAAAGTGCACGATCTGTAGTGGACCCGGAGATCCGATACCAGTCTGGGAAGTGCGCTTGTGCAGATTCTGCGTCGTCAGGCAATTGATAAATAAGAGCGCATTGCCGGCATTCTCGTTGACTCCAAAGGAGATCGAAGTGCTCAAGGTAAATTTGCGATTCATTCCCCGATTTCCGTCAGCACCTCATACTAACATCAAATGTTTAGCCGTGGAAGACCTACGTGTACGACCTTGGCATGCATTGCACCTTCTACCTTCGTGCCCATCTTGATCACCTCCGGCGACAAAAGTATTCGGATCCGCAAATCGCTTTGGATGATAACGTGAGCAAACGCCAGTCCGAAAGATTCGACAAGGAAAATGCTAAGCGCAAGAGGAAGCAGAAGGAACAAGAGGAATCGTTCGCGGAGCGAACTTCGGCCATACTTCGATGCTTCGAAGATCTACGGTTAAAACCGGATTTGTCGGTCATGGATGAATGGTGGTTTCCAAAGGAACTTAAGCTAGAAATTCACGAGGTAGATATTTCGTTGATTAAAAGTGATCTTGTTCAGTGGTACTCTCAAAATTTGCCTCGATTGTCATTGATCATTCATTTGATGATGATAAACAGTATATCTCCAACAAGACCAACAACAGCTTGGCTCGTAAGCGTCTTCGTATTTCCGTCGAACAGGACGTCGATAGTTCAAACAACTCACCGCCGTCGGTCAAAAGTAAGTCCCTACGTAAGAATCTAGACGAGATAATGGTCGAGTTACGTCATGTGGTGGTCCCGCGGGTCGAGAGATTGATGGAATTGAATAGCAAGCTGTACAGCGATGGTATAGTTATTGACAAGCTGCGGATGGATCTGGATCTCAAGACGCGAAGGGTCTACGATGATTTTGTGTTAGGCGGGCTCCCGTATGAACATTCGCTGACGGTCTCGAGGACACGCAGTGAGATTCTCAATTATTTCAAACGTGAGGAAGCCTTTGAAAATTCCATTACAAACACTTTCCGCGCGTCCGTCACCCCCGATGATTTCTTGTGTGCATCTCTTGACCTAAAGAGATTCCTGCAGGACGCTCGGGAGTGGTGGGCTCGCCGCGGAAAGAAACCTCCGCCAGAGAAATGCGGCGAATTGTACCTCGCTCGTGTACGTAAACGACAATTCCGGTTCAGAAATGATATGTCTTCGCTGAAAACTCAGGAAAATTGGAGGCGAGAATTGTTGGAACGAAAATTGCGCGAGAAAATTGATTGGTATTTTACGGACTTACCAAAGTACATATCCGAGTTGAAGGAACTTTACGAACATAATTTCATGCTGAGGATGAAGAGCAAGGAGTATTGCTGGATGAAGGTGATTATTATTTATCGTATTTTGCTTATTCTGTTCGACGATTCGTTTAACTCAACGACCTTGAACTTATGAACTTTATTATTATTATTATATAGGGTATGTCATCACAACTTGAAATAAAAGAACCACCGGAAAGGTTGAAGTTGATGTACGGTGACTACGAGGACTTCATAAAGAATTGTAATGGGTTCTGCTCTACCGAGGATGGTTACTGTGGCTGCTTGGAATGTATGTATCTCGTTGGTTTGATGATGTACCTCCCGTTTCGATTTGAATTTGCATTAACTCTGGACACCTTCATTCCTCTTTTCTAGACGCCGCAAAAGACATCATCAGAGCAAATACGATGTTGAGGCGTAGGGACTGGATGGACGCCCAATTGAGAAAATTCAGGGAGATCGAGTATCGCGGTCCCGACTTGTTGATGTGTCCCGAGGCAAAGGAAGAATATTATTATGCCGCCAGAAGTAAGTCACCGAGGACAAAAATAAACAAATAAAATCGGACATTGAACTATTGTTATTAATGCGATGCGACTCCTCTTTTTCTTCTATAAATTGTAGACGTCTCCGTTCCGAAGAGAGCTGCGGTGATGTACATTTGTCGTGCCGAAAGGTTCATGAGGCGACTTCTTCGAGAGGTTCCAACCTTTTCCGCAGAGTTAATCACAGCAGAGGCGCGTGATTGGTACAAGCGTTGCCTTGGTATTGTTTCCGACTTCTATGATCCGCCACGTCGTCCTTGCTCGTGGACGGCTTTCACAACCCATTGCTATTATTACGAGGTCCACAACAATCCCATGGATCGTCCAGATATCGATTACACCATTCAAAAGATTCGCGAGTGCGAGAAGAATCGCATAAATCGATTGACGTTCGCTGATTGCGCGGCCAAGCAGGCGCGATTGAGCCCGAGCTTCTGGAACAAGACCATGGTCAAGAGACCGATGGATGGTGTCTCATTTGCGACCCGAGTCAGGTGGATAGCCTCAAACGGTTGGTTCTCATTGAATCAATTGGCGCAGGCCTGGATTTATGATGAAGACCAAGCTCCGTTGGGTCAATTGGAGCCTTACATCAAGGAAAAGGTGAAGCAGATGGAGCGGGAAAGGCGTAAAGAGGATATCACGTCAAAGTGAGTATCTTTCAATTCGCGAATCGCGTGATCATTTGATCTACTCAATTGAATCAAGCCAAATCATTATTAACGCTCGCATATCCTAACGACAGGATTAAAGATGATCCTGATTATCAAAAGATATTCAAGGAGATCGATGAGGATGCCGAATTCTTTTTGCGCGCCACCTACGAGATTAACACCATCTACAAGGTAGGATGTTCATCACATACTTTTTATGGATTCGTGACATCGATGCTCTAATCCCGAACGCGCCTATCATCTGTTGTTCACAGGTGTCCAATCTTTATAAGGCCCATGTTGAAGATGTCAAGTCAGGAATCGACCCTGCTAGAGTCGTACGACAGGTCATTGATCTCATTCGGGATGTCAAAACCGGTGTTATCAGCAAGAGTAGCCTGTTCGTTTCCGATCGGGAGAAACTGGCTGAAGAGGATGACGACAATGATGATGACAACACCGGTGTCATAATTAACAATGGCGTAGCCGGTAATGCCGGTGTTCACGTAAACAACACTGCCATTCCTGCTATTGCGAACACAACGAATGTTGCTGGTACCGGTGTCGTGAATACGACCGGTGGTAACACAAATCTCACAAATGTGCAGCCACCAAATTCCTCGGCGTCCACGTCAATACAAGGTATTCAAATAGCGCCAATAAGGGTGAACAACACGTCTTCCGCTGTTCCTTAGGATGCACGGATCCTGGACCATTTTTAATTAGAGTAACGCAATAATGTTATCAACGAACAATATTTTCCTTTTTATGATTAACCTTTTTTTACTTGGGTTTATGGATGTGACAATGGTGCTCGTGTGCAATTTGTTTATTTTTTTTTTTTTTCTCATAAATCACTCATGTTCTTTTTCCAAAAAAAAAAAAAAAAAAAAATCCCTTAAAAAAAAAAAAAAAGAAAAAAAAATTGTCTTAATTAACCTCAAGAAATGAGTAATCAAAAAACTTAAACCCTTTTTTCTCTGCATACCTCCAATATCTGCAAAAATTTTTCGTCGGCAGGCGTAAATTATTTCTTGATTAAAACAGGTGGAGGTCTCCAAGCATTGTGTGTAAGAACAATATGGTAGCATTAGCGTTGTATGGTGGGATTTGAATTGTAATGAGTAAACAGCATTGAAAAAAAAAATACTGTAATGATTGAGGTACTGTAATTAAAAGATCGGTTATTTAATAAAAACCGAAAATTCTATTTTTTTTCGCAATTGCAACAGAGTGATCGGAATCACATGAAGACAATGCTCATATCATATTTTACGGGCCTGCATTATGTGGATATCAAGATCGGCATATCACAATTACTATTATACTAATATTATAGAAATAATTGCCATTCTATCAAGTTGCGATTGTTAAATTTCTTGAAGTTCTTTATAGTTTTAACAAACTTATTATACTGCATTATGATAGTTCTTTAAATGCATGTATTAAATTAAGTTAATAATTGCAATAAGAACAATACAATATGCTCGCAAAAATCTTTCATTATTAAAAATTAATATAAAATTTGATTAATTAGTAGTAATTAATATTTTAAAAAAACTAATCTACTGTAAATTAAATTTGAGAATCAATATGAAATATATTATTTTTAAATTTTTTCAAAAAACAAATTCATTAGAAACAAGATCATTGGAATATTTTAGAAATATAAAATTAGCAAAGCATATAAATCAAAATCAAATCATATTATAATATTTTATTTTATAAAGTATTAAATATCAAAGTATTTATTCTGTTTATAAAAATTAAATGAATATAAAAAAATAAATATATTTACTTATAAAAAAAAATCACAATTGTTGGTTTTTATTAAATTAAAAAAATTTTTTGAATCCACAACCATGTTATAGGATTTAATTTTTATTGAAAAGTTTATATATGATTAATCATATAATAACCAATTTATTATTGTAATAAAGTACTCTAAATCAAATTTAAAAAACAATATTTTATTTATTTAGAGAATTAATATAAATCTTTATTTATTAGATTTATTACCAATAGTTTATCATTATAGATTGTCCAAAAACTATAAATTGCTAAGTTGATAAAGAAAAAGAGAAAAAAAAAAAAGAAAAAACTATATATTTCAAGCTCCTTCAAAAATTAAAAAATTTTTTTCAAATGAGATTTTTCTAATTAAAATATTCTTTTTATTTTACTTGAATCTCAAAAAATTTTTTCTTTGTTATTACTTGTAATATTCAATAAATTAATCCAACTAAATTCATTATTTAAATAAATATTAGATTTGAATGGCTCAAATGAAACTTAAAGATCTCAGCTTCTAATTAAAAAAAGTCTTTTTTACTATCATTATATCAAATATTTCTACATATACAGATTAATACTAACTTATCACAGCAATCCTAGCTAGACCTACTACTACTTCAAGAATGAGTATATCTAGCTAGTGATCGGATAATTAATACATAGTTATAAATAATGATACTAGGTTAGTTATTATGGAGTTTATATAACTTTTTTTCGAAATTCACTAAATAATCCTTTTTTGTATATACCCAACAAGATATATATACCTTCCAATATTCTCAGATATTATTCACTCAGACCTCAGAAGGGAACATATTACCTTCTTTGTCATCACTTGTGATATCGGATCAATCTCTATTAATTAATTTTCAATTAAGCGGAGCACCAGATTGGGATATCCTGAGTTAGAAGAGTGGGAGCCTAAAGGTTACCTAAACAGAGTAGGCTTTGGGACGTTTTTGTAGGAAGCTAGATCAGAAGCCTTACTTCATGCAATTCTTCTGATAGTATAACCTTAAGTTTTAGCCCTTGATCAACAGAAGGCCAGAAGTCCCATCTTCATGTAGCTTAACCTGTTTCAGACTAGTTCCAAATGATTTAATATGACTTTCACAGGATAACTGATAAACCTGATTAGAAGAATAATTTTAATTTTTGATCCTTAAGTGGTATTGAACTATAGATATTGTGATTTCAACCTGGATATACTATCACTGTGTTATTGACCCACAAGTCTATTGTTTATTTTTTTATTTTTTGATATATTGAATATTTTATTTAAAAACTTGAGATCTTTAAAGAAAAACAATTTTTAAAAATTTTTTTCAATATTATTAATATTATTAAAACATATTAATATGGTCAATAGAAACTTGTTTATATTTTATATTAATCAATTACTTTTAATAAAGATTTATACTTTCTAAAATTCAGGATTAAATTAAAAATAGACAAAATTTCTTAGAAAATTGTAAAAGTGAAAGTTTTAAGAGAGTTAAAATAATTAGAAAAAAAAATTATGCATTTTTATTATAACAAAATCTTTATAACCTTTTGCTTTAAAAATTGAAAAAATCTTCAAGTACTTTACAATCAATTCTTTTTTCTTTAGGAACTTTTTTGTCATTGATATTAGAGATATTATTTGACTTTTCTTAATCATCAAGAGTCAAGTTTTTGAATAAAATAATTTATAAATAAGAGAGAAAGAGTAAAAATAATTTTTGAAGTTATATTTCAAATTGTTTTAATAAAAATAATAAGACTTTATTAATAAACTAGTAAAAAAACTTTTTATGATTAACTTTTTTGCATGTGATCAGAAAATTAATAGAAAAAATTTATTATAAGTTATATATTTTTATATTTATAGAAATTAATAGTAATTTATTGTAATTTTACTTAAATAAGTCAAAAATTTCTTTTTAAATAAATAAATTTAACTAAAAACTATATAGCTAATATATAGTTATGAATATTATTAATATATTTAGTTTAAAACTATATATTGATTTAATTTTACTATACTAACTTATACAGTTGTTTTCAAAAGTTTGAGTCCACTTACTATATTTTTATTATAAATTTCAACTTTGATAATTTTTAAATCCTTAATTATAT